AGTTTAGCACATCCGAAGGCCAATCAGAAACACTGCGTGCACAAACGGGCATCTTCCGCGGTGACAACTTGCTGATGAGAGGAAAAGGTGGAAGTACTGTACCGAACCGAACCAAGCAGCGTTTGGGGGCGCCGACCGGTGCGAGATTATGAAGCCAAGCCACACGGCAGGGCAACGAGCTTAGGACGCGGCACCTGTTTTGACTTTGCCAGGGTCGATCGTGGGAGGGGTGATGTGCCGCTTGTACAGTGTATTGACGATATCGTCGAAGACTGGTATCCGTTTTTCGCAAAAAGTCGAGAATGTACAGCAAACTGGTCACCAAAATGGTGGCACCCACAGACCGCACGTTCGATGTGCCATGGTGCACACATCGATCTTGCGTTTGGGTTGGCGGGAGGGCGCGCAACAGGTGACAGCCGCGATCGATCGGCGTCGCCTACAGTCGCAGGCAAACAATGATTGGATTACAACCAGCTGTGCTTTGCTCTGAATGGTTAACGACTAGATTACTGGTGTATTTTGCTGCGGAACATACCTGCCCGATCTTGCATTTTCGACCCTGGCACCCATGGCTCGACGTGTCTATCACACTGCAAATTTGCAGTGTGTGCACATCGATGTGCCGATCGATGTGAGAGCGTCGGTGTACCGGCTTCTACCCCCCTCGATCCTGGAAAGACAAAACATGTGCCGCGTCCTTACCAAAAAGCATCACCTTTTCGTCACCCAAAAAGCATCGCTTTTTGCGAACTGAAGCGACTGGTTACGTGGCTGACCCTTCGAGATTTGTTCCAATTCCAACCAAGCCACCTAAGGACGCGTCACCTGCCTCGATCGATCCTGCGTAGGATCGATGTTTGGCATGCTACAGTGAAACTGTAGCATCGCAGTTCACAGAGATACCCTATTTCGAGACAGTTAACGAATGTACAGTAACAGGTGCACCACGATCTTGTCACCTCCCCCCAACCGTGATGATTGCATCATCATACATACACCGACTTTGCATGAGCTCCGAGCTCGCGCTCAATGTGACAGGCAAGATCGATCGCCGTCGCACAGAAGGTGCTGCATATTTTCGCCCAACCATGTCCCCTAGCGCAATACCGAACTCGTCACCCAGGGCTCAAAACCAAGCTGCGATCGATGTTCAGCTGTCACCTGCCCCCAATCGTGCCCCAAACCTGCGGTCGGTATGCCCGATCGGTTTTTTTCTGGCAACCCTACGATAGATCTAGGCAGGTGACGCGTCATAAGCTCCACGCAAACAAGCCACCAGTCACCGTCCGAGCCTACGTTTAGCAATATTCAGTGCAGTAGTAACGAATCTAAAATAATGTATGCACGTCTGTCTTAAAAAATGTAAACTATCACTTGTACTTTATGAGCTGTTGATTTCATCAAAATCTTATTTCATATTTGAAATTTATATATACTGTTCTTTAATAGTCTAATGGGTAGAAAGTAGAAGTATGAGGTTTCAGGTTCAAAACCTTGTGGTGGCGTGTTTCTCCCACCCCGAGAGGCGTTTTTTACGTGCTTATCTGGGAGTGGATAGTCCTTTTGTTTACGATTAATGTATAACCTTAACTTTAACAAGTGTTCAATGTTGTTTCCAGCCCGTCAAACAATAGAAAGCTTCCCATACGCGGTACACGCATTTCTCAAACCACTCCCCAACACGTCGTGGTTTCGTGTGGCGTCCACCTTCTTCCGGTCGTCTGACACGAAGGCACTACGCACGAGTGAGGAAACTTGAGCAGCCAATCACATTTCTTCCTGGTGGGCCATAGCCGAACCTCGAAAGCTCCAAGAAGTGGTCTGGGTTTGGCTCGGGTTCAGGTCCCCTCCGGTATGCTATGCTATGCAAACCGCCCGCACACACCCCTCGAGCATGCTCCCCCTCCTCGGCCCTCCAAACCAAGCAACATTCCCAAACGAGGCACCTACCATTGTGGTATGTTGCACCCCTGGAGGCCAGGTTTGGCTGAATAAAAAAATAGTCGCTTCAGTGCAGAGGTAGATAAGATAGTGACTGTCGAAACATCAGCTAAGCTGACCCTCTCCCTCCCTCTGTTCCTCTCTGACAGCCCTTTTTTTTGTTGACGAATCCGCTATCTCTAAGAACAACCGCCTTCCAAGTACAACCTTTTCACCCTCACGCTCAAGCCTCGTCCGGTAGTGTCCTCCCGACGGGGACCCGGAGTGAATCGGCGGTCGAGTGAAAGGCCGTCCGAGTGACGGCTTGAGTCGTCCATCTGTCGAGTCCACCTGATCGATTGCCTGGTGGGTCCACGTCTGGTGAGGAGATATGACGAGTAGGTATGTGCTAGGAGAGGCGGATTCGGGCAGTCTTTGCGACTATTGTGTCAACTTATACAGGTAAATTCGGTGTTTTCTGTATTCGACAATAGATTGAGTTAAATGTCAGTGTCAAGTGCTCGTATTGGAATCAAGCCATCGGCTTCAGCCTCTTCCGCTGCTGTCTCTGTCGCTGGTACAGCAGCTATTCGCCGTGACCTTTGCATTAGATGGAATTTTGAGGCGTCGCCGCTGTCGTTCCCATGTTGAAAAGCACCAGTCGCCTTGACTTTCTCGCTCGTTCCGTGGCCGTCGGTGAAGTCATAGGTATCACTGTTCCATTCCATGGTAATAGCAATCTCAAGGTTATTTCTTCGTCGGCATGTGCAACGGGCCGAAACCCTTGGGAAAGCTGATAAAAACTCATTAGCTAGCGGTCTCCGCTTGTTAAATTCGTTCTATAATACTACGTAAGGTGGTTTTTCCTCAGGTTACCCGCCATGACGACACGTCGTCGACCTGCCTCATAGTAAGGGTCGTTTCCCGTGGATTGCGCCTTAATTCCCATGCGCCTAAATCCGTCCTGTCATCCACCTGCCTCGTAGGTCGGTGTAATATATCGTTGTAAGGGTCGTTTCGTCTGCTTCCCTGTGATCTGTTTGGTAAGCTGGTCGGAGGTAGGTTTGTGTGAGGTAATCTCGTTAGGTTAGCTCGTCTGAAATAAGCCCGATGTAGGTAAGCTGGTTTCTTAAAGCAGCACTTTGTCTATTGAGCAATTGAGGTCCAACACACTTTCTCCAGAAGCCCGGCTTTAATTTTACAGCACGAAGCGTTTTTGTTGTGTCTCAAGCAAGCGTATACCAATCCCAGCCACTGGTGTTTGGTCGCACCAATGATATATGTATCCACTTATTTGCAGTGTAACATGCACATTTGTCACCCTGCAAGTTGCCTCAAGTCGTGGCATTCTAGTGGTTACTCACTCCCCCCTCACTTTCCCCTCATCCCCCCCTAACTTCCCCTCAACCCTCCCTCATTCTCCTCTCACTCCCCCCTCATCCGCCCACCATATGGACGCTGCCCCGCACAAATCACAGCAACGCCGCTGTAATTTGCGCGGGGCAGCAGTCATGGGGGCGCTCTGCTGCTTTTTGAGTCAACTCAGAGAAAACCTTTTCTTTCTTCTGTTCTGTTCTTCTGCTGCAGTAACCTGTGCCATTGCGCGGGGCAGCAGCCATGGGGGCGCTCTGCTGCTGCCCGCGGTTGGACGATTTCGATGACGCAGGGGGGTATGGCGCTGCTGCTAGAGCCGGCAGCAACGGTCGCATGGGAGGAGCAGGAGGAGGGGGAGGAGGAGCAGCGGCGGTGGCGTCTCGGTGTCTGCTGCTGCAGCAGTGCCTCTGCTTGCACTGCCTCGTTCGATGGCTGCTGCAGTCTGTACGTGTAAATTGCCTTTCTGCAGCCCCTTTATTCTGCGATTTCTCGGAGTAGACCGTTGTAGGTAGGCTTGATTTTTTTTTTATTTTTTTTGGTTCCACGCCTACGCCTCTTGCCTCGCTCAACCTCCCCGTCTATTTCCCTCTTTCCCTCGCTCCCTTGCTCCCTCACTCCGTCGTTCGTTCTCTCACTTCCTCCCTCCCTCTCTTCCCTTGTACCTCCTCCCTCACAGTACGCAAGAGTCCGTGCTCAGATCGATGGTCGTCCCCTTCCTGACCCTTCAGATCCCTCCTCCTCCTCCACCCCCCTCCACGCCCCCGCTCCCTCCTCCGCTTCCTCTTCTTCCTCAGCCATTCTCTCCCCCTCCTCCTCCTCCTCTTCCTCTCACCATCACCACCACCACCAACACCAGCACCACCAGTATCACGGCAGTACTTTTTCCTCCTCCCCTTCCCCTCCCTCCTCCTCCTCCCGCTCCCTACCATCCTCATCCACTGAGCTTTTTCCAGATACGTTCCGTGCTCCTGCCCCCCCTCTTCCTTTCTCATACGACATGGGGGGTTCACACTCCCGTGATGCTGCTTGGCCAAGGCGGGGTGGGAGAGGAGGGGTGGGAGAGCAGAGTGCAGGGGAGAGTAGATGGGGGAAACGGGACGGCGGAAGTGCGTTTGCTAGCTGCTGCTGCTGCTGCTGCTGCTCCTGGGGTTTTTGGTGGTGCTGATGGCGCTGGTTCCGCTGGTGCTGCAGCTGCTGGTGCTGGTGGTGGTGATGGTGGTAGTGGGGACAGGATTTCTTTGGCAGGAAAAGGAAGTGCTCGATCCAGGAACAGCAGCAGCAGCAGCAACAGCAGCAGCAATGGCAGCGGTGCTTGTAGCGAGACTCTAGATTCTCGTTCCCCTTCTGTTCCGTTTCTCCAGAGACGTGTGGCAGCTGCAGCAGCTGCTGCTGCCGCTGCGGCAGCAGCTGCAGGCTCGGCCGCAGCCTCGGCGGCAGCAGCAGCTGCGGCTGCTGCAGCTTCGGCAGCAGGCGAGGAGAGAGGAGACAGGGACGGGTCGCGGGAACCACTGATAAGATCCAGGCTTGAGTCAACTCGATCAACTGGTTCTTCTGACACTCCCGCTGCTGCTGGTGCTGCTGCTGCTGCCGGTGCTGGTGCGGGTGCGTCTGTCGCTGCTGCTGCTGCTGCTGCTGCTGCTGCTGCTGCTCGTGCCGGTGATGGTGGTGCTAGTAGTGGTGTGGGAGGGTCGCTATCACCCACTATGGCTCCATTCCACGTGGAGGGACCAGATGCATCTGGAATGATGCGCCTGCCTGGGTCAGAAGGGTTTCCTGGTGCTGCTGCTGCTGCTGCTGCTGGCTCCCGCGATAGTGCCAGTGGTGCTGATCGTGCCAGTGGTGGCAGTGGCTGGGGGGGTGGTGGTGGTGGTAATGGTGGTGGTGTGGGTGGTGATGAGGCGTTGGGAGTGGCAGCAGCAGCAGCAGCAGCAGCACCGTCGTCAGCCCTGTCGTGGTATCTCTCTCGTGTTGCATCTGCCACATCTCTTGCCGATGAAGATTGTTGCCCCACATGCCTCGAAGGTAGGCGGTCTCGATATTCATGTTTATATGTTATATGTTATATATTATATATTATATATTATATATACATTATATATATTGAGTATATATTATATAAATAGTATATTATATATTTATCTTATATATTATACATATTATATATATTATATTTATTCCCGTGCTCTTGTTGCTATCTTCGGCTGCTTGTTACTATTACGTGACGTGAAGGAACTTACCACAGCTCCCTTCGTCCCTTCTGCCTGCACCCTCTCCTCTCTCCCTCACTCATCCCTCACTCATCCCTCACGGGCCAACCATGGTCTGTGCAGGGTACACGGAGGAGAATCCGCGGATCACCACGGAGTGTGCCCACCACTTCCATCTGGGGTGCATCTACGAGTGGATGGAACGATCCAACCTCTGCCCTGTCTGCAGCAAGGTGAGCTTTGTTGCAATGGCACACTTGCTCTTGTCATGAGGTGCTGCTGCTGCAAGGTGGGTGGAGTAAGTTGGGTGGGTCAAGGTGGGTGGAGCAAGGTGGGTGCACGAGGGAAGCTCTGAGAGGTGAAGGGAGTTGCTTTTTTATCAAACCAGCTTGAACGGTATGCACCCTGCATGCATGGTACACTGGTGCACGGATTTACGCGGTTCCGGGTTTCCGGGTGCATGGGTGGGTGATAATTTTCCTTCAAGGCTATGTCCACCTGGTCATTAGATGGATTCAGTGATTCGGCCTATTTAGGCTGCCCTTTCTGCCCACCTGTGCAATTTGCGTGTACTTGGTAATTGTATTATTCCCTTGTGGATCAAATCCCTTAGTTATTTTCGACTGCAAAAAGCGCTTGGGGACTGGTTGTATGTGATGTTTTCACATATGAATGGAGGATTGCGATAGTCCAACAACGTGCTTCCTTGGTTCCAGCAGTTTGCTTATCACTGTTGAGCTGACTAATGGAGGTTGGTTGTTGCTGCTGTCTGTTTGTCTGTTGCTGCTGTCTGTTTGTCTATTGCTGCTGTCTGTTTGTCTATTGCTGCTGTCTGTTTGTCTGTTGCTGCTGTCTGTTTGTCTGTTGCTGCTGTCTGTGACAGGAAATGAAGTTCAATGAGTTCATGACTTAACCAGCTACGCCTCCGCTCTCGACTGCTCCTTTAAGGTATCCCTCCTCACTCCTTTCCACCTCTCCTCACCTCTCCTCTCCTTTCCTCCTCTCCTCTTTCCACCTCCCCTCACCTCCCCTCACCTCTCCTTCTCTTCTCTTCTCTCCTCTCCTTTCGACCTGCTTTGTCCTGCTTTGACCTATTTGTCCTGCTTTGACCTATTTGTCCTGCTTTGACCTATTTTTCCTGCTTTGACCTATTTGCCCTGCTTTGACCTGATTTGTCCTGCTTTGACCTGGTTTGCCCTGCTTTGACCTGTCCTTGTTCCGTCTGTCGCCCCCCTCATTGTCCCTCCTCTGCCACCTCCCGTGCCTTCCGCCGTCTTATCCCCTTGCTCTCATCCCGTCCCCTCTCAGCAAATGTGACCGCATGTTCTGATTGTTGTCCTGCTGGGCCCGCAATACCACACAAATTGCTTCATTGAACCATGAATTTACTTCTTTTCCATTTCCCCTTCTTCCTCCCCCACCTCCCCCTCCCCCTCCCCTCCCCTCCCCCCCCCCCCCCCTCCCCCTCCCCCTCCCCCTCCCCCTCCCCCTCCCCCTCCCTCTCCCCCTCCACCTCCCCGTCACCATCCCATCCTCCGCCCCCCCCCCCCCCCTTCCCTTCCCTCCCATTCCCCCTCTCGCTCACCCTCGCCCTCCCTCTCCCCACCTCCCCTTCCCCAGCCAGTACTACCTGGTGCTATGGTGCATTAGCACACATGGCACACCAATCTGCCGTAGAGCACTTGCATACTCTCTGGGTGGCAGTGGTGGGAAACGACAGTACACTACATGGCCTCTCGTCACATCTCTCATCACAGTTGGGACTCTTACCCTGTTGGTGGCAGTGCCGTTGCTGTCCCTCTCTGCCCCAGAAAGGAAATGGGATTGGAGTGACAACAGTGCACATGGCTCTAGTTCATGGAAGGCTTGTGGTTGGTTTGTGATCTGCATGCAAAAATACTTTCAGATCCTGTAGAAACAGTACTATTGTACGTCTTCCTACCTATGTGCAGACTGGTGCTGAAGCGCCTTACTGGTATTTGCATTGTATATAATTACATGGTACAGTACAGTTGCATGATCCTTGATGTTACGGTGGCCCTTTCTACAGCATGCGACACTTAGTGTCATAACAAACGGTGATATTGTTTTTACGGTAGAAGTGTGGAGACGCCACAAGCGACAGAGATGTGTGCAAAACTGCATATGTCTGTATGCTATGTATTTTCATTCTGTCCATTTTGGCACAAAAAGGGACGACACCACGTACGGTAGTACTAGTAGGCCACCTATCGTCATCGCCCGGATAGAAGATAGTGTTGAATTGAAGACATAGTGTCTTTTATACGGGTGATTTCTTATAAAGAGAACTTCTGTTTATAAGATACCATGCTGGCTATATGAGATAAGACACCCCCCCTCCCGGGTGTCTTCTAAAGAGAATGCAGTGTTTCCTAGCAGCAATCTTTCAAAAACGCCCTGCACTTCATGTCTAGCAAGGTCAAAATACTGCATTTATTGTCCACAGCAGCCTGCTTGCTACACATGGTGCCCAGTAGGGTCCATGATCCCGACAAACAAGAAGGCACTCGTTATTACGTGTCCCGGTATGTGCGATAATACAATAACAAACCATTCCGTTTATAAGATTTATAAGACACCCATTTGGTTCCGTTTACAGGACACAGTGGCCTTTTTCAATCCTATATGAGTTAAGACACATATGTCTTCTATCCGGGCGATGACGGTATTGAAAGCCAATTGTTTACAGTTGTGTTGTGATTGTAGCACTGGATAGCTAGACAATTGTTGCAAACTGAGAGATGTAATCTTTTCTCAGTAAGTGAAAACAGCGGAATGAGTAGGATTGATTGGGTTGGGGTACATATGCCTAACCCTAACTGCTTGTACCCCATATAGCATGACCCACAACAGGGTATAACATTTGACACACCCCCATAGCCTAAGTGGGGAATGCCAAGCAACAAGAAACGCAACCTAAGGTCACAAGACCAGTCACAAACAAAAGACAAAACAAAGCTCAGGGTGGATCACAACGTCACCACACAGTCTGAGCGCAAACAGCGGCCACAAGGCCAGTTCAAGAGTGTATATGCAGATATATACTGTACAAGCAAAGACAAGAGACAAGCACTCACTACTGCAGTCTACTCGACCCAGTCTCAACGAGGCCCAACTGCAGACAGAACCGGCGGTGGTCACAAGGCTGAAGAGCCTTGGTGAAGATGTCTGCAGTGTTGGCCTCGGAGGCCACGAAGTCCAGACGAGCCTGCCCGCGTCTCTGCAACTCTCGAAGGAGGAAGTACCTGACGTCAATGTGCTTCACTCTGCTCTCCAGTCGAGGCTCACGACACAGGAGAATCATCGCCCTGTTGTCAGCAAACAGGGTCGGTGCAGAGCTCGGCCGCTCACCAAGGTCAGTGAGCAAAAAGGTCAACCAGCGTAGCTCCTGAGCAGCAAGGGCCCCAGCGTAGATCTCGGCCTCTGCGGTAGAAGTCGCAACCGAGGAGGACCGAGTAGACCTCCACGAAACAGCTCCAGAACCCAGGCTGAAACAGTAACCCTGCGTAGACCTCTGAGTCTCAACGTCGTCGGCGTAGGAGGAGTCGCAGTGACCGGTGAGTACAACTGGCTGTGTCCCTCCAAGTACAAGCCCCATGCCTGATGTCGCGCCAAGGTACTTCGCCACCCTCTTAGCCGCCGCCCAGTGAACAGGACGGTGTCTCCCAGTCGCAACAAAGCGAGACAGGATGCTAAGAGGGAAGGCGAGGTCCGGGCGAGTGCACGTCATCAGGTACATGAGGCAGCCCACCAGCTCTGCGTAGGGACCACTGGGCTCGAACGGCTCGTCAGGAAAAGGCCCAGTGAGTCTGTGGTCTACAGCAAGAGGAGTGGGTGTAGGAGAGGAGTCCTGAAGCCCGAACCGCTGAAGGACCTGCTGCACCATGTGTGACTGAGTCAGAGTGATGGTGCGAGCGGCTCTGTCCCTGGAGATCTGCATGTCAAACTATATGTGCTGCATATTGTTTAGGCTGTAGTGGGGTAGCCCATATGGGGTACAACCCAATTAGGGTTTACTACTTGTACTCCTGCATCCTGTTAGTTCATTCATTCCTGCTGCTAGATTTTGACATGGTTTCAGAGCACTAAGGTCCGTAGGACCGTTTTTTTTTTTTTTCGGGCCCACCTACCGCTGCGGTTACCGCGCTACCCCACGTACCTGCCTGCCTTGCCTTGCCTTGTGACGTGCTGCACTATGCGCGCCGTCCAGCAGCCCTAGCGCTGCCTCCTGCTGCCTTAGGCCAGCGCGCTGCCCCTAGAGGCCCGTAAGGCCCACGCGCCGCCCCTAGAGGCCCGTAAGGCCCGCGCGCCGCCCCTAGAGGCCCGTAAGGCCCGCGCGCCCCCTCTACACGCCCGTCAGGCCCGCGCAGCCCGCTGCAGCCGCGCGCAGCCCGCACAGAGCCCACGCAGCCCGCGCCGAGCCGCGCGCAGCCCGCTGCAGCCGCGCGCAGCCCGCACCGAGCCGCGCGCAGCCCGCTGCAGCCGCGCGCAGCCCGCAGCTGCCGCGCGCAGCCCGCGCCGAGCCCACGCAGCCCGCGTCGAGCCGCGCGCGGCCTGCTACGGCCTCGCGAGGCCCGCGCGCGGCCCGCAGCAGCCCGCGCCGAGCCGCGCGCGGCCTGCTACTGCCTCGCGCGGCCCGCGCGCGGCCCGCAACAGCCCGCGCCGAGCCGCGCGCGGCCCGCTACTGCCTAGCGCGGCCGCGCGCGGCCTGCAGCAGCTCAGCGCGCTGTCAGCGCAGCCCGCGCCGAGCCGCGCGCGGCCCTCTGCCTCGGCCCCGACCTGCCGCTGATGCGGCCCCGCCCTGCAGCTACCACGGCCCCGACCTGCCGCTGATGCGGCCCCGCCCTGCAGCTTCCACGGCCCCGACCTACCGCTGACGCGCTTACTCGGCCGCCGCCGTCGAGCGCCGGCCCTGCTCGCCCGGTGATCGCCTGCTCTCCCAGCCTTTGGTGAGCGCCTGCCTGCCTGCCTGACGGCCTGCCTGTCTGCCTGCCTGCCTGCCTGGCTGCCTGCCTGCCGGCCTGCCTGCCTGCCTGCCGGCCTGCCTGTCTGTCTGCCCGCCTGCCTGCCTGCCTGCCTGTCTGCCTGCCTGCCTGCCTGCCTGGCTGCCTGCCTGCCTGCCGGCCTGCCTGCCTGCCTGCCTGTCTGCCTGCCTGCCTGCCTGCCTGCCTGCCTGGCTGCCTGCCTGCCTGCCGGCCTGCCTACCTGCCTGCCTGCCTGCCTGCTTGCCTGCCTGCCTGCCGCGCCTGCCCTGCCCGCGCTACTGCTGCTGCTACTGCTACTGGCAGGTGGCCAGATGCAGCTCCAGCGACGTTCACGCGAGCCTCTCACGCCCCAGCAGCTTAGTGAGTGGTATACTAGCTGGGGTTGTCGCAGTAGCCGTCGTAGCTGTCGCCCTGGAGCTGGTCAGTTGGGAGCGTCTGGCAGTGGCCAGCTGCAGCTGCAGGGGCGTCCACGTGAGACACTTACGCCCCGGCAGCTCCAGGAGTGGTATGCTCAGTGTAGCAGGTCTACGCGTACAGTTCGCTAACCGTACGTCATTCGCACAGGTGCTAGGACTGGTCAGCCTTGTGGGACGCTTGGTCACACACAGTCCCGCTGCTTCGCCCGTCTGAGCGACGACTGGCGCACAGTGTTTGGCGACGAGGCTGAGCTCCCCACCTGGCTGGAGCTGCATGGACAGAGGGTAGATATCTTTGCGCTTGACTATGATGCTATTCTCACTGCCATGTATGCATTGCCTACTAGTGCTGACCGTGCCTGTTACCTGTGCGTACCGCCTGACCCTGGTATAGAGCCTGCTGCTCTCGGTGCTGGTGAGGCTGCTGCTCTAGGTGCTAGTGCGTCTCCTGCTCTAGGTGCTGGTGAGGCTGCTGCTCTCGGTGCTAGTAC